TACAAGTGAAGCAAGCACACCCCTCTACCATGCAAGATGCAATGGCTAGAGCTTTCGAATTTGAATCCTACGTTAAGTCCAGCACAGAGGTACCAAGGTTGGTACAGTCATTTGGATTCAAGGCCAGAAGAGGTCAGCTTTCAGAGAGGTTTGAGGGACTTTGCTGGCACTGTAACAAACCTGGGCAAAAGAGAGCTCAATGCTGGAAACTTCTACACAGGGGAGATGATACAGCAGGAAAGGCTGCTACCCAGAAAGGCTGTTGGAACTGTGGGAAGCAAGGACATCTGAGGAGCCAGTGTAGGAAGAATATTACCAACAAGTCAGCCTCAAGGTGACCAGTAGTGGTTGGTGTTGAGGGACACTCACCAACCCCCATCATGAAAGTCCCTACAGCTAGGTGTAAAATGCCAAGCACACACAGCATCTATGTGACAGGAAAGCTGGATGGCCAAAGGTGCAACTTTGTCACAGATTCTGCGTTTCAGCAAACCCTTGTGAGCATCAAGGTGTTAGATCATGAAGGAGTACCAGAAGCCATACAGAAGCTTTATGGTGTGACAAGATTGTGGGGACCAGTGTGGGTAACTATTGAGCTCATGGGCATAAAGGACAGACAGGAAGTATACTTGGCTGACATTGAAGATGAATGCATATTAGGATTGGACTATCTACTACCGAGGAAGTTTGTAATTGATTTTGCTAAAATGACGTTTGGGAACAACAAAGGCCAAGTTCCGGTAACTGTTAAAAGAGAGGTTGAACTAATTAGGTGCCATCAAGCTGAAGTCAAGCCAACTGAAAGAGTTGATGATGATGAAGTGGAACCAAATATAGATATCAAGGCAGAACAGGAGAAAGACCAAGATTTGAAGCCAATGATTGATTTCCTAAAAGCAAGTGTTTTGCGCCCTGCTTGGGAGAAGGTGTCTAGTGTAAGCCCTGTGACAAAGCACTATTGGGCACAATGGGATAAGTTAAAGCTTGAAGAGTGTATTCTTGTACGTAGGTGGGAAACTACAGATGGGCAAGTGACGACTTGGCAAACAGTTATACCGATGAAGTTACGGGAAGTTGTGCTGCGTCAATCCCATGATAAATTAACAGGAGGACATCTCGGAATTAGGAAGACATAGAGTCACATACGACAAAGATTTTACTGGATAGGTATGAGGCGAGATGTGGAAGAATGGTGCAGGACATGCATTAGTGTTAAAGGGGACCCAAGCATAAGGGATGCCCACCTTATGAAGAGTTGCCTGAGAATGTGTCAGAGTTTGTGAAAGTGTTATCGTAAAGGATGGATGATATTCATCATCAAGTGTGTTCAAACTTGAAAACGTCTGCTGATTCGATGAAGTTAACTTATGATAAGAGATCTACTGAAGTCAGCTTTGTACCTGGAGACAAGGTATGGTTGTATAATCCCAAGAAGACCAAAGGGAAGTCTCCTAAGTTGTCTTCTCCATGGATCGTCTCTCAGACGTGACTTTCCGGGTAAAATGTGGTCGGCGAGGTAAGCCAAAAGTGGTGCATGCCAACAGGCTTTGGCGTTATCACGGTCCAGGACATTTCAGTTGAGACAAAGTGGACAACAGAACAAATGACGCTGCTGAAGAAGCCACCGTCGAAGAAGAAACTCTACTCAGTTTTGAGAAGGGAAACGGTGAAGCTCTTGATGAAGTTACTACCACTGATGTGACTGTTATCGACGATAGGACATTTCCTGATGAACCCCACGTGAAGCAGAAGTCAACGAGACGGAGACCAGTATGGAAGAAGATATGTCCCGTAAAATTAAGAGACTTTGTCGAATTGTAATTTTGTGTTTGTAATTCTGTACATTTTAATTAAGTTATTGTTAATTGTTATTGGTTTAATGTAAGTGGCTATTGTTCGGGACGAACAATACTAAGGAGGGGGCAGTGTTGCGTCAGCGAGGTCACGTGACTAGTGTCACGCCACCTGCTTTCTAGAAATATCCTGTTCCTTCGTGAATGCCCTAGCATTTACTAGATTGGGGGTACCCTGGTATATATAAGATGGTCACAATGTGACGGGAACAGTGTAGGTAGTGAGTAATTGAACTGCAGTCAGAGAGTATTGTTGAAGTTGAGACGTTCTAGCGTTTGTTATAGCGTGATTGTTGAAATCAAGTGTATCGTGAAGTTATATTCAGGAAGAATAAGCCAGTTTTATTAAGAAAGGACTTGTGTCGCTAAAATTTCGTCGGAACGAAGTTACAGAAAATTAATTAACGACTGGAGGCATAACATTACAATACTAGCCTCACCATGCCTAAGCAGTATCTGAATATTAGAAGAGTAACTCTCTTTTTGTTGTCTCTTTGAATTTTTCTGAAACATAACTTGAAATCATTCAAATTAATAATACACATGAACAATGTAAGTTGTTCTTAAAAAGTTACTGTAACACAAGCACTATTCATGTATTTCAGATAAGTCATGCCTTTTTAATGTTACAAAAATGTCTCCTGTTGGCCAAATTTGAAACACATAGGAACTATAAATAATCAACAAATATTTATATTATAGCTCAACATATTTTTTAATAAAAAAAATTTACAAATTAATAATGAGCATGTCATCTGGGTTGTGTTTTACTCACCACAGGGAACCTATATTTGTAAAGATCTTAAAGAACACGTGGCATAAATGCTACTGCTTTGTTCTCTTGAATTATTCATTTGTTTAAGATAACACAACTTTATAATCATCACCAAAACTGTAAAATACAAAAGGTGCAATCTTTATTATAACAGAACAAAGGGTGTATACTTGTGTAGATGATGGACTGCCACTTCTACTGGATAGGTAATGTTCTTTCTCCCAAACCAGATTAACATGAGATTATCCACAAAACTGTTTAAATTCAACAGTTTTTCAATTTGTCTTTGTCCAGGGTTATTAACAAGAGACAAAATTCCTCCAAATCAGCCCTTAGTGACAAGAGATGAATTATATGATAGACTGGGGTTCATGTTTCCTTCTTGCATAAATTTACACTTTGTTGATGAGACAAATTAAATTCCACACTTTACTATGTTATTTAAAGTTGACAGATTACACACTAAATACCAGTATTTCATTAAATCCATTAACGTTTTTGTAATTCTTGATGAAAGACTTTTTCATGTGTACAGTGACAGATATACATCAGAATTCTCAAGATAAAAAAAACCTTAACATGTGTGTATCTGTGAAATAATTAAAAAATTCTGATAACATATCAAGTCATGCTGATAGGCATAAGTGGGAGTATGGAGAGGGGGGGGCTCCCAATTATTTTTCTTTGGTATGTAGTATACACATAACATTCATGATAATTAAGTGAAGGTAACTATGCCATCGTATTTCATTATGGTACCATTACAATTTTTTGGTGTTTAGAAAATACTACTTATTCAGAAACTTTGAGTAAAACTTGACCATTTTTACAGTGTTGATCATCTGTTCACATTTTCATATTAATTTTAACCTTGTGTTTATGGCAGAGTCAAAGTGCACATCACAAACTTTTTCAGTTATATTCAAAATTTAACCAAATAACTTTATTGTTAATAAGCTTGGCACCAAAATGTAGTTCATAATTCTAAATTTTATTTTCTTTGTTTCAAAACAAAATAGTTGAATCAATTTTCAATCTTGTGTCACGTAATGGCCTTGCAGTCCAAATTGCTCTTCTGAGATTTTCTTTCAACCCTTTCGCAGTGCCCAACTAAATATAAATTCTACTAAAGATATTGACAAGTGAGAAGATAAACTTAGAACCTCTAATTTTCTTCCTTGATTCAAATATATAAAAAAATATCAAACCCACATCAAACACCCTTCCAGTACCATTCTGTCTTCAAAAAAATGTCAGTAGCTCGAGTGAACATTACTGGTGAATTATTTACAATTAATAAAAAGAGAAATTTTCTTTCTTTAAAAAATTCTATACAAGTTTTTTTTTTCACTACTCGTAAGTATATATTTGACCCCAGTTCCACTCTTAGCAACAGAGGGTTTATCTTTGAGCACATGGTGGAAGTTTATCATATTTATAGCTTAGTAAGAAAGCCAGTTAAATTATAGTAGTTTTGGTAGTCTATTCTAGTGCCTAATATATTTTTTTGTGTTCTATAATGCATATTTGAAAGCTACATGAATTTTCATTTAAACAACTAACTTAATGGGGAAAAAAAAGTTTGGGGGCATTCTATTGTAGCACCTGTTTGAAATAAGAATGTATTATTTTGTGTACAATGAAGATCACCAAAAAAATTGGTTAAAGTGCCTTGTACTAAAGGTCAGAGTAAGTACTAGAATGCTTATTTTGCATGTATATTTGTCATAAATGTAAAAATTATAAACTTATTATGTTAAATACGAAAATTGAAATTAAAAGAAATAAAAAGTCTTGTGATACTCAATACCGTATGTCATGGCAAGATGTAATTCAATCGTTTGTTTACACAAAGTAGTCCTTGTGATAAATGTTTTTGGATACTCTGAGATGGTTAAGTACAATTGTAAAGCAATAAAACTAAATGAAACAGATGTGAATAAAATAAAGTTTTACTGGAATGAAATTTTATATCAATTTTGTAGATTCTATAAATTATGCAAATTAAATATGAAACTACGATGAAAATAAGTTTTTTTTATTCTCAGATAAATTCAGTAAAGGCTTTGGAAATTCACCGACAAATCTTTAGTAGAAATATTTATTAAAAATTCAATTTTTTTTTGTGTACAACATGCTCTTAATGTTTACTAAAAGCTTGCCAAATTTTTTGAAAATACACTTAGTAAGTTCAGAACTATAGTAAACATTACTCTCAAATACATTCTCAGTCCAATGGATTGATGCTGTAAACTCCACCAAAAACTCTCTCTCCGCACGAGTCGTGCCTGACTTTTCTGGTGCAATAAGTACAAATGGCTTTGTGTGTGTTTTTTAGTTACTAAATTAAGTTTCAAAAAAGTAAATTTTTTACATCATGACATGCTATGGATTTTATCATCAATTGTATCAAAATCATATTGAACAGGACAGTGACCTGTCTTATTTTTCTTGATAAGTTTGAAACATGGGTCCATGAATAATACAAAATACTCAAGATTAGTAAGGAAACAAAATTATCTGGCGTTATACGATACCACTCATAATGAAAATCCTGTCTTCATTCTCTCAAACATGTATACAGAGATTTATCAGAGTAATATACCCCCCTTTCTTGCTTATCTAGAAGAACCCATTGTTGTAGTCCGAGAAAAACATGTATGTGGATTATAGTATTTTCAGAAAATTCATCAGGAATGATGTCTCAAAAATAAAAAAATTAATTAGTTTTTGACATTCTCTCTATGCTTTGTTTACATAAAATTAACAAGTTAATATTTTGTTTCTATGCAACCAATAATTCATAATTTTAAACACACAAAAAATATGGGAGCTCAACCTTTTAAAACAAGTGCCCAAGCCAACCCAAGCTTGCATATAACCACTGCATTAACTTCAAAAACAATCTATCAGGAATAATAGAAAAATACATTTACAGTGAACAAAGGTTTTAATTTATATTTAATATAAAACACAAAAAAAATACATTTTTAAAACAAATCACACAGAACTTGATGAAAGTGACAGACTAGAAGATAACAGCAGCCAAATATTAAGATTTTTGTCTGTTGTAAAGTTCAATCAAAGCTAACAATGATACTTCTTCTGTGCTTTGTTAAACAATAACTTTATGAGTATAACAACTCAAAAATACTTCTAAAGGAGATACAACAATTTTAATAAAAGTTTTATTAAATGAATAAAATTTTATCACCACTAAAAATATTCTTTGGAAACAACAACAGTACACACATGCTGTATGTATCTAACGTTCCTTTTTAAACGTCAATATCAGTGATAATGGTATATTTTACTGTAAATATCACAATTTCTTTAACATTGGACAACTATATGAAAATTGATGACTACTACTTTCTTGATTCTAGTACCAAGACTGAGATGGACATAGTCAAGAATCAGATAAATAGTAAAAAGATAAATTAAGAAAATAACACTGATTCTTGTGATTACACTAAATCTTTGGTACTACTTTAATGATGAATTCAAAAAAAAACAATTCTACAGATTCAATTGCCAGAAACAACAAATTATTTTAATTTACATTTGTTAAAACTTGAGTATTTATTGGACCTGAAAAAACATTTTATTTATTGAAAAAATCTCAGTTACTTATAGTTTTCTCACTAGTTTATGACTGTCATAATGTATACTACAAATCAGGCCACACTATATCAAGTAATTTTCAATCAATTGTTATGAACTAGTAAAACACCAAACAAAAGATTTTGACATTAAGGTAACATATGTATATATTGTTTTGTATCAAATTAATATTGAAATCATCATTTATCTAATGAAGTTTGTATAAAATCACAGATTGGTCCAAATAATTTTTCAAAACAAATTTTTTCCTAAGCATTTCTTCCCATAAGTAAAATACCTATCTGTAACAAGCCAGTGTTCATTCAAAAGTATCATTTTCAAATTGAATACAGTGTCTCGCACTTAGTTCTGAGACTGTCTTTGTACAAAAAACTCACTAATTCTAAAGCAACTTCTTCACCAAAGCTTTTACAAACTATTTAAATTTTACTAGGATACTAAGTATTAAGGAAAGCTTTTTTTCATAACTCCAAATTTTGGAAACAGACCAATTTGATATTTATTCTTTGTATCTCTCATATAATATTTTTATCTTTTGTCAAGAATAACATTTTTCTACAAAGTGGCACACTCATGCAAGATTTAGTGATAGCTCTTCCTATGGTAGATTAGCAAATTAAATATTTGTCAATTAATAAATCATGTTCTACATTTCGTTTCATGACTAACAAAGGTTTTTCCTCTTCAAATAAATGTTATTTTTCAAATTTAAATCAGATTTCAAATAAAGGCAATAAACAAAGTTATGCCATAAAAGATTTATAGTTTTCCACTTTCTTCTAAAATCTTCTATAGGAATGTTTCCACTTCTTCAAACAATGTTCTGGCAAACAAAGGTGTAGAAAGTCAATTACATTACATCTAAACACTTGCCTGAAAATTCCAAATCCTTAAGAACACACAAGAGGCACAACAGGTAAAATTTTAATAATAACACACGTTCTTAAATAAAAACTCACAAACCTATACTACTACAAAATGATATCACTACAAATTAACCTACAAAATGACAATAACCATGAAATGCTGCCATTACTATGTCCTTTTGTTATTTTTTAGCATTTCTAACTCAGCATTCCTTCTTATTTCATCAAACGTATACTCCCGGATCAACTTGCCATTTTCAAACACAGTTACCAAGATGTCCTGAGAAGAAAACAAATAAAGTAATGTAAAAGATTTATTTTTTCAGGGATTTTATTCTATTACTTTCACTTATAAACAGAAAAATAGCTTTGAAAAGTAACATACATATTTGTATTATTTGTAAGTGACATTGCCTATCAAGACAGTACAATAAAAAATGTCAAGCTTTAAAACAGGACTATCTATCATCTCAAAATAAAATTAGTACAATGTGAATTTTGGAATAAAACTAACAGATATCTATTATATAATTAGAATATCTAGTGACACTACACAAATGTTATTTCTCTACAATTGGTTTTGATTTCATGATCAATAAGCTACACCCCAAAAGTATTAGTATATTTGTACTTTTTTTTTTGAAAACAATGTAAAAATCTTTCAGTATTACATTTTGAATGTCTGTTAAATCATACAGTGTTAAACAACTTTTCAGAAAATAGGCTTCACAAAAGATTTCACATTCCCAAGACTGTTGTCTGTTGTGAACAGTCAGTTGCTTTCTACTAGCACCATTTCAATACATTAATCATGATGAAACTACTTGTTTAGTAAAGCAGCAGAGAAAAAAATCAAACCCTAATAACATCTAACTTAACACATTAAAAAAAACTTAATTTTGCAAAACAGAACTCTGAATAGCATCAGTTGCTCTACCAAGTCTTACTAAACACTGTTACCAACTGGAGGTTTACACTTATTAAGTTCCAAAGTAACGTGTATTAAAGATTTTCTTTATTTCTTTTAAGATTTTCTGAAAACTTCTTTCTTTACACAATTTGTTTTTATTATTTTAATAGTCACCCTATTACTTATGTGGTTAAAATACTGGCTGTTACTGAGGTAAGGCTAAAGGAACTTATACCTAGCATCTAAAATTTTTAAACATTCGAAGCTCATGTATTACTCAAAACTTACTAGAATGAAATCTTTATCAAAAAGTTTTATCTAAATTTCACTACATTGTCCAATAAAAAACATGGTACTACATTGTTGACATTCTTAGCAAATGCCACTGAGCCATTAACATGAAAAGGAGCCAGAATCAGTAAGAAGCCCAAGATATGAGACTTAGTAACTGTCACAAAATTAAAATAAATTGAAGTTACTCTTTATATTATTTCTTTATCTTCGTTTGTATTTTATCAAAATTTAAATTATTCATTACACCCAATTAACAAAGAATATAAAACATAATTGTTTCCATACAATATTTCATAACTTTCTTGAATGTAGATCAATATGTTTCAGGTTTTTCAGCAGTTTAGATGTGAAAGTTTTAAATGGGTGATTTTGTATTAAAGAAAAGTGAACATTTATTTTTCTTTACAGTTTAGATTTTGATTTCTTTATGGCAAAATGTGTAAACAGTTAGATTATGTATTAGTGATTTGAATTTAGTTTGTGGATGGATAGAGATTCTTGTATGGTCTCCTCAACTGTCCATATAGTAATTTCTTCAAATCAAATTATTCTGGCAAATGTTTTCTCTACATTTGCTCTCTCTCTCTTTTTTTCCCCTCTGTGTGTGTGAATGCGCATGCTTACTGTCAGAGTGGAGTTGAATCATTTGGCAACTATGTTTTAGCTCCTAAATTCCAATTAAGGAATTAAAATTTGAGAATTGAATTGTTAAATTGTTAGGCTTAATTAGTTTTATGACAAGTCTCTCCCACAAGTTACTACACAAGAAGCTTTTCATTCAATACCAGAACACATTAGTTGGGTTGGATATTGGGAGAAAAGGAATGTATGAAAAAACATATGAAATGCACCTGATTTATATCACAAACTTAGGGTTTATTTGGTTTCTAATCTTTCCCCAACTATCAACATTTAAACTTTAACTTTTAAATTATCTATTATAATAATACTCAGTTTTTGTATGTGCTGAAAATGTAAACACACTTCATTTCAACAATTGTAAACAAAAGGCTGATGTAATTATAATCTAGTAGACATTTTGTACATCAACATAATAAAAGCTTAAAAAAGTTTTTAAAAAGGTCTAATGTTAGGTCAGAGAATAACATTATAAATTTACTTATTGATAGTATTATGTATGGTAAAGTTTAGCACTAACTAAACTAAAGCAAAAACGGACACAAATTACAGTGTAAATTTATCTTTCTACCAAATATAGGCTTTACTTAATAAATGCTTAACTAATGTTAGGCCTACGACAAATGAACTTCTAGATTTCGATGCCTTCAATTAGAATTCTTTTGTATTATTCTAGAAATCCTGTATTTAAAGAAGTATTGTTGTAAAAAACAAAAAATATATTAATTTGACTGTAAATGTTTCACAGCTCTTTGCTTGTTAAAAATGAAATATCATTCCAGCTGCAATTCTCCATTAGGCTGCATATCATCCCAGAAATATCTAGTAAAACCCACTAACAGCTGAGATTGTTATGGTTTGTAGCAAATAACAAGCAGTTCAGAAGAACAGAAACTTTATACTTTTCTCATACAACCAGTTTTCTAGCTTACAAGTTTTTACATATATATTTTAAGATATACAAATAAACACATACAATTCTTTATAAACCTGCTAAATATGAAATGGTTGAATAAAAATCTTGTTCAGTGTTCATTACCTTCACTGGATTACCATTCCCTTCTTCAACTGTTACGTATGTATTTCCCTGCTTTTCTAAAGAAAGGCGACCTTTCTTGGAATGCTTCCCAGAGTCAGTAATCGGTTTCTTAAACACATTTAGCTATGGAAATTGTAAGATTAATAAATTAACGATACAACTTTTCATTCTTTAAGGTGATAAAGTTGCATGTAATATATATACACACAATGAAGAATACCACACCACAATATGGCAGGAAATACTTTTCAACACTTCTGTTTTACCTGGTTCAATAAAGCAAAGTGCATAATTGCATTCTAAATACACTATATTTTGTACGACACTGCCAACTGGGCTTTTAAATCTCATACTAAAGTGAAGAGAAGAGCTAGGAAACAATATCCAAAGCCCTATAGAAAAAGTTATTTACATCACATTAAGTGTTTACAAAAAATTAACCTGTGCTGTTTATAAGCCTAAAGCTATGTCATAATAATGCTTTTCAGCTCCAGCCCTCACAATTACAAAATTAGATTTTGTCTCCAGTTCTCACTAATTGAAAGCAAACAAGCAGATTTATATTAAAAAGGTTAAATTTAAATGGTTTATACTGTGTTATTACTATTAACTTGTACTGATATAGATAAGAAAGAAGTGATAAAAATATCTCATGTCTTACTTTACTCCTTGTAGAAGACAGCTTCATCTGCCAAAAGCACAAAGGTTTCATCGTTCTTTGTTTAACATGATTTACTAAACTGTTTTTTTTTTACCATGAAGGGTTTTACAATAATGATTAGAACATACTGTTACGCCTCCGTTCATTAGTTAATTTTCCGTATAATTTTTTTCTGAAGAAACTTTAGTGATATAAGTCCTTTCTTAAATAAAACTGGTTTATTCTTTCAAAATACAACTTTGCAATACACTTAATTTACACGGTCACGCTATAATTTACAATGAACGTCTCTCTCTGTCCGCAGTTCAATTACATATTGTTGCCGTCACGTCCTGACCATCTTATATGTACAAGAATACTGAAATCTAGCAACCTCCTGAGGTTTCATGAACGTTCTAGAAGTGCATGACGGGTTACTAGTGTCACGTGACCTATGCTGTCGTAACAATATCTTGTTTTGTCTCATTTTGACTACCTGATAGTTATAATGCATAAACAGTTAGTTATGCGCCATCAGTTAAAAACGTTTTTTTTCAATAAAATATAAAGCTACAGAATTATTTGATAGCTATCACTGAGAATACTTTGATAGCTTCTTGTATGCATTTCTTTTATTGACTTAAACCTATCTAAATTTTAAATCTGAAAAAAACAACAAAATTCATAATTGAGCATGTATCTTCACACTCAGGATGTATATAAAAATACCAACTTCAAACACTATATTCACTTTCTAAATAAGTTAAACACTTCAAATGTTTCTTGAAATAGTGAAATCATGAGCCAAATAAACTTCTTGAAAATTCAAACCTGTACTTGTTTTTCATCTACATCCAAATTTGACTTATTGGATCAAAAATAAAACTAGGACAATAATAATAATAATAAATGCTTATTAGACATTTCTAGATTCTGGAACATGTTATTCCAAGACATGTGCTAAGTATATTTTTCATTACCAATACAGTCCTCTGGTTTTTGATCAAGTGATAGTTTCACTTATTTATTTTTGTTAAATGTTTAACTGTATAAATTTAAACTCACCAGAGACTCAAAATACAAATTAACAGAATTACTACCCAATTGATTAACTGATACACAACACCCAAAGAAAACCGAAGACTACACTTAAATTTACAACAGGAAAAAAAAACAAAAAACAATGAGGTAAATTTATGATCAGTACTGGTAATCCTTTAAAATAATCTACACAAAGACATAAAACAAATTTTGTACCAAGTTAAACTATTTTAACAGGAAACCTTGAGTCCTATTATTAGGACTTTTTTCAGATTAATTGAGCAATAACATAACTGTACATTGTATGTGACAAGTTTAAAGTTACAATAGCATTTTTTTTCTTTCTCAGTATGCCATTTAGACATAACTCTTGCTGAATTTTGTATGTTCTGAAGTGCAATTGTAGACTGCATCTGATGCACATCTAGTGGATGGAAATGTAACAGTTAAAAAAACAGGTTGGTTGGTGTTTTATGACGCAAAGCAACAAGGCTATCTGCACCAAACAACTGGTAAAAACAATAATAAAAAATAAACTATAGTAAAACAGCGAGTTAAAAGTAAAATATGTACACAATTGGGATCAAAGATTTATATCCAATTAAAAAGGCCAATTGTTTTTAAAAAATTAAAAATACAATCAAGTCGAACAGTGTCACCATCGCCAATGACACTGTCCAATGTCAGGGGTAAACTTTTACAAGATATGTGTCTAAAATGGTGCCGCTGCTCACAGTCATAATGATGGCATGACAGTAAGATGTGGGTTATTGTGACTTGAGTGTCACAAAGGCTACACATTGGTGGGTCAATACCAGATAAAAGAAAATGATGAGTTAAAAACTGTGACCAATGTGTAGCCTTGCCAGGACAACTTCCTCCTTCCGATTCTTACGGAAGCAAGACGGCCAAAAAGCAACAGAGGTTTGATCTGGAAAAGCTTTTTGTGACATTGCTCACCCTAAGTCGACTGCCAACTGCCACGAAGCCACACCTTGAAGGCAGGACCATAGTCCATGTACTGAACATGTACAGCTGTGATGGCACCAGAGCAGACGGACTTAGCTGCGGTGTCAGCGAGCTCGTCCCCGTGAATACCGACATGACCAGGTATCCAGAAAAACTGGATGAAAACAGAAGATAGAGATCTATGGGTCCATCGTTGTTGCATATCGATGAGAACAGGGTGAGAACTAACGTCAAGCGGTTCCAGGGCCAGTAGAGAGCTAAGAGAATCAGTGTAAATAGTACAACCACTGTACTGCATATTTTCTACATGATCCAGGGCAAGAGAAATAGCATACAACTCAGCAGTGAACACAGAAACTGTAGAGGAGATCCTGCGAGCAACTACGAGCCTACAGTCACCCGATTTTGAACCATCCATGTAAATAGGAAGAGAAGGGTGGCTCGAAAGATGTTCAACAAAAAGAAGACGATACTTCCAATCCGGAGTATCTGCCTTCCTCAGATGACTCAAGTAAAGGTCACAGGAAGGGATGGTAATAAGCCATGGCTGAATGTGCTGATCATTGGGGACAGCAATGTCATCCAATGCCAGACCCTATTGAGCCAGTTGTGCCCAGATGCGAAGGCCAAAGGGAGGAATTGCAGACCATCTGTTCTGAAAGAGTATGGCCCACAGAGGAAGAAAGACACAATCCAAGGTGGGATGTCATGGTAAGGATCAAAGTTTGGTAGCATATTGTAAAGAAAGTTGCAAATGATGGAGGTAAAGAGGAAGTTTGTGGGACTCAGTGTACAAACTCTGGACTGGAGAAGTGCGAAAAGCCCCGGTGCAGAGCCTAAGCCCCAGATGGTGAATGAGATCCAGCATCTTCAAGGCCAAGGTCGTGGCAGAACCATAGACCCATAGTCCAGTTTGAATCGAATCAGGGCACGATAGATCCTGAGCATAGCACATCAATCCACTCCCCAAGAGCTGGAAGAGAGGACATGGAGGATGCTCAGAGCCCTTGCACACTTGACATGTAGCTGCTTGATGTGTGGAATGAAGCTAAGCTTACGGTCAAAGAGAAGCCCCAAGCCTCAGGGACCACAAGAAGAACTATATCACTGAAACGGTGCTCTGGATCGGGGGGAGATCCCGTTGGTGGCAAAAATGAAAAAGAAAATGTAAAACCATTTGCAGTGGTCCATGCCAGCAAGCAATTGAGGGCAGTCTGAAGCTGCCGCTCAATAAACCTCATGTTCTATGACTGACACGAGATGTGGAAGTCATCGACATATAGCCCATTTGCAACAGTCGGAGGAAGATGAGTAGTGATAGCATTAATGTTAACACTAAAAAGTGTGACACTCAAGACACAGCCCTGAGAGACTCCAAATTCCTGTGGAAAGGAACAGGAAAGAGTTGAACCCACACAGACTTGGAATCATCTGTTCAGTAAAAAGTTCTGAATAAAAATGGATAAATGGCCATGTAACCCATAGGTGTGGAGGTCCAACAAAATGTCATACCTCCATGTAGTCTCATAAGCCTTTTCAAGATCAAAGAACATAGAAACAAGGTGTTCTCTCGTCAGGAAGGCTTCCCTGATCGACATTTCAAGTCGAATCAGATGGTCCACGGTGGAGCACTGTCAATGGAACCCACACTGGGTGGGCAGGAGGAGTGTGTTTGAATCGAAGAACCAAACAAGACGAGCATTAACCATCCTCTCTAAGACCTTACAAAGACAACTAGTCAAGGCAATGGGAGGATAATTAGAAGGAATCTTGGTATCCTTCCCAGGTTTAGAGAAAGGGAGGACAATAGCCTGGTGCCAAGCATCAGGAAAAACATGCTCCTGCCAGATCTGGTTCAAAATAACTAGAAGAATAGCAAGAGAGGCAGGAGAGAGATGGTGCAGCATCTCATAATGAACATCTTCAGGTCCAACCAATGTACTATCAGACCAATGAAGAGCAAGTTTGAGTTCCACCAGTGTAAAGGGGCGATTATAGTCATAGAGACGATCAGCCCAAAAGGAAAGAGGTGATCGCTCTGCCCAAGACTTGATGACCAAAAAAGCAGGGGAAGAAACAGAAGTGCTATAAGCACGAGAAAAGCTGTGGCCAAGAACATCAGCAATGCTCTGGACATCAGCACCTTCCTGGCCATT